GTGAGAAACTGCTAAATTATCTTCCAGAGTGGCTGTACCATTTTGTATGCCCCCAGCAATGAACAAAATTTCCTGTTGTTCCACCCATGTTCATTATACTGTTCTCAGAGTTCTGGATTTTAGCCATTCCAATAGGTGACTAATGGTATCTCATCGTTGTTTTAATTTACATTTCCCTGATGACATCTGATAAGGAGCATCTTTTCATATGATTATTTTCCACTTATGTATCTTCTTTGTTGAGGTGTCTATGACGGTCTTTTGCCCGTTTTTTAATTGTTTTTTCTTATTGTTAAGTTTTAAGCATTCTTATATTTTAAATAATAGTCCTTTATCAAATGTGCTTTTGCAAATATTTTATCACATTCTTTGATACTTCTTTTCATTCTTTTGACAGTGTCTTCTACAGAGCAGAAATTTTTAATTTTGATGAATTCCAGCTTATCAGTTCTCTTTCATGGATTATGTCTTTGTCATTGTATCTAAAAAGTTATCACAAAACCCAAGGTCATCTAGATTTTCTCCTTTGTTATCTTCTAGAAGTTTATAGATTTGTGCTTTATATTTAGATCTATAATACATTTAAGCTTTTTTATTATTTTTTAATTTTTTTTTTTTTTAAGATTTATTTATTTATTTATACAAGCACTGGGTACAGTCAGAAGCGCGGGAGGGTGAGAGAATTCACCAGAGCCAGAGCAGGGAGCAGAGCAGGCAGAAGGACCGAAGTACACTGCTGAGGGGAGCAGCGGGCGGCAGGAGAGGTCTGCGCGCCATGTGGGACCCTTCTCTGGTGGCCGGGGAGCAGCCGGGGATCGAACCAGCGCTGCAGAGGCTGCGGGCAGCTTCTCAACCCAGCGCTCAACCGCTGCGCCACCGGGGAGGCCCAAAGCTTTTTTATTATTTTTTATTTATACAATAGCTGGGGTAGAGGCCAGAGGCGCAGGAGGGTGAGAGGATTCACCAGAGACAGAGTGGGGTGCAGAACAGGTAGACAGAACGAAAGCACTGCTGAGGGGAGCAGCGGGCGTGACAGGAGAGGTCCACCGTGCCATGTGGGAATCTCCCTGGCTGGCTAGGAATCGAACCTACCCTGCAGAGGCTGCAGACAGCTTCATGACGCTGTGCTTAACCCGCTGTGCCACTGGGGAGGCTCTCTGTAATACATTTTGAGTTAATTTTGAGGAAGTGTATAAGGTTGGTGTCTAGATTCACATTTTTGGGTGTAAATGTCCAGTTGTTCCAGTACCATTTCTTGAAAAAATTATGCTTGCTCCATTGCGTTGCCTTTACTCCTTCATCAAACAACAGTTGACTATATTTATGTGAATATTTCTGAGCTTTGTAATCTGTTCCATCTTTGTGATCTGTTCCTTCACCGATACCACATTATCTCAATTACTGTAGCTTTAAAGTACGTCTTGGAGTTCTGTAATATCAGTCCTGTGACTTTGTTCTTAATCCTTTTAATAATTGCGTTTGCTATCTGGGTTGGTTCTTTTTTACAATTCCCTTGTCTCTGCTACTAACTCCTATCCACTCATCAAGATAAGGTTTTTTGTGTAATTATTTGCATTTTTACTTCACTTCACTTTTGAACATATTTTAAAAGCTGCCTTCAAGCCATTGTCTGATATGTTCAACATTTCTGTCACATATTCCTACTCTTTACATAGCTAATAATTTGTCCTTTATGTGCTGGACAGTATAAATGATACATGATGGGGAATCTGGATTTTGTTGTTTTAGTCTGAAGAATGTTTAATTTCATTCTTGCAGGCAGTTGAGTTACTGGCTATTTACCTTGAACGTGTGTGTAGGGTTGGCAGTCTGCATTGTCAAGAGCAGAATTGTGGAAAACCAAGGTCATTCCAGGCTCCCCTAGGGTGGTAGACTCAAGTTCTAAATACTGCCTCCTCTTCAGATTTCCTAGGGCTTAGTCTCTAACTTTGCTAGTGTGGATCTGGAGGAGGCCCTATACTCAGATGAAACCCTTATTCCTGAAAAACCCAACCATCTGGCATCTCAGCTGGTCTTAGTCTGTTGCATAGTCTTTGCACCGAGTGACCTCTGTCACTGTCCATCTCTTGCATCTGTTCCATTCAGCCCTATAGTAGCCACTCTCAGATAAGCCTTGAATGGTGCTCTGAGTGTACATAGCCCAGCCCTAACCCAGGGACCCAGGGGAACCCCACATGACTTTCAGTCCCTCTCCCAGCCCCCTCCATTTCACTGACGTACCCACAGATTTTGGATGCTCTAGCTCCACACTGAGCTCCACCTCCTTAGCCTCTCATGGCCACTGTCTGGACTTCATGGCTGGGACATTTCCCTGAGCAGAGACATGCTGGGGCATTTGGGAGGCTCACCTGGTCAGTCATTCTCCTCTACCTGTTGTCTAGGGCCTGGATCCAGTTGCCCAGTACATTTTGTTCAGTTTGATGGTTGTTTACAGCAGGAGGATCAGTCTAGTAGCAGTTATTCCATCATAACTTTCCTGTTGTACTTGCTTTATGAACAATAAAGTCTGTTTATATATTGAGCAAATATATGTGGTTCTTCATTGTCTTTATACTCTTTGTCATTGTTAAGTATCATATACTGTCTCTATCTTAAAGCTTTTGGCTCTGAATTTAATCTTTCCTAAGACTGGACCTCTGTTTGTCTTATTTGCAGTCTCTTCCAATGTCTTTCCCCCTCATTTTTTCGGAGTCTCTCTTCTGTATCACACAAATTTGACTTTAACTTGGAAATCCAATAAGTCATATATCCATTGAGTATATATCTTCCCTTTAAGGAGAAATACAAGAACAAATACTAGGAAACAAAGGCACTTAATGACAAGTGGGAGGTGCAGGAGGGTGGAAAAGGAAATAACGTTTCTGTCATTTCTTCTGGTGGGGTGTCAGATCTCTCAAATATGAGGTTGACTATTGTATCTTTGGCCTCAAAACAAAAGATGAGCAAATCAGTGAATTTAACAAACACCCAATCTCTCTTGCCATCCTCCCATATTTCTGTTAGTTACATAACCGGTTCTATCACCATAATCCCCATATTGTTTTTGATATAATCCCATAGGTAAGTAATGCCATCCTCTTTGCCAGACCATTTACTGGAGTTCTCCAGTTATCTTCTGTGAGACTAGAGTTAATATTCTAGTCCTTCAAGAAGAGCTCATGGGAGCATATTCTTTGAGTTCTTACATGTTCAAAAATGCTTGCCTATTGTTTTTATACTTGAGCGACAGTTTGGATATAACATTCCTGCACCTTGCCTCCCTTCCATTCTTTAGAGACATTACTCTGCTATCTACTGTCACAGACTTGGCCTTTGAACATTCTGAGGATACCCTGTCTCTTCCCTCCAAATAGACTTGATCTTTTTACTTGAGGACTAAAATGACTTTCAGTTATTAAGTCCAATAACTTTACTGAGGCACAACTTCTGATATCAGATTATAAGACTTAAATTGCTAGAAATTAAAATTAATTTTCTAAGTCAGTGACTACTGGTGTACACACCCCCACCCCCACCCCCGCCTATCTTCCATGTTTGCTATTTCCTCTTCAGGCCACTGCAGCCCTTTTTCCCTTTTATTTTTCTCACTGTGTACATCTCTGCCCTCTCTGTCCCTGTCACAAATCTTCTGCTCTCTTCAATTATCTTAATTTGAGGTAATTGGAGTTTTTTCTTCTACTTCTTTCCTGTGCTCTGACACTTCATTTTCTTCCTATATTTTACCGCCTGATTTATAGAATTTTTTTTGTGAAGTTTTGTTAATTTATAGCAAAAATGCTTGGTAATGATTTCTGTTTGCTTCTGATAAATGTCATTTGTTTTTCTGCTGCTTTTCTCTGCTTTCCTTTTATTATCTTCATAGAAATGAGAGATTTCCAACTGAGGCTATGATGTTCCCCCCTAGGAGATGACTTAGGAGAAAGAAGGGTGCTGGTATGGGTGACAGAGGTGACTTGTGGACAGAAAGGTCTGGTGGTGCACAGGCTAGGCCAAACACGAGATCCATGGGAAGAAGTGGCTATTTGGGTTTATCGTAATTATGGCAAAGTGCTGTTGTCATTTATTGTGTGGGGACAGAGATGCTAGATGCCCTGCAATGCACGAGACAATCCTGCGTAACCCAGAAGGGCTGCAGCCACAAAGGCCCTCTCATCCCCTGCATGCTGCAGAAGGCATGAGCAGGAAGGGGTCATCACCCAGCAGTGAGTATGGGGGCTCAATCCCAGAGAACTGCCAACTCCCAATAACTCCATGAGGGCATACCATACCTATGCATTCCTTGTTAGTGCCAGCTCCCTCCCCCATCTCAGAACCAGTCCAGGGACAAAGGTTTTGCCCCCCAGCCCACGTGGCACACCTTCAGCTCCTCCCGTGTCTTTAATGCAGTCCTGCATTCCTCCCACTCACACCTGGCTGTCAGCCACCCTTTAGCCTCACTCACATTTAAAGTTTCACTCATCTCTTAGTTTCGCTGAGGACAGAATTTACATTTCTCATACTCCCTGTCTGTGGCATGGATGTGAGGTTTCTTTAGAAGGGAGAAATGCTGACTTCATGTTTCAAGGTGGAAATGTTGCCTTTCTCCTGCATACTAAGTGGTGTGTAGTTCTGTGGCGAGAAACCCCAGTCCCCAACCCATGGAGCTCTTTCCTCACCATCTGACGGAGAGAATCAAAGCAGGCCCCGGATTCCCTATAGACCTGTCCAGGGAAGAGTGGGTGGGGTGCTCTCAGAGGCTCTCTGAGGGATAGGCCTGAAGTCCTCAACCCAAGAGTTCAGCCAAGGGCAGAGATAAAACCATCTTTTAGCAGGTCTGAACCTGCTTCTGGGAAGAGAGGTGCACAGGGGTGTCCAGCCCTCATGGCAGCCTGTGTTTCCTTCCTTCTTCTGGCTGCTCAACTAGAGCTGCCCATGGGTGAGAGCCTCTAACGATTATAAGAGCCCCCTAATGATTCTTTCTGCTGCTTTCGATCTCATAGGTGTGCAGAACTCACAACATTACCAATCCTGGGATTGCTGACATCAAGATCCGACCAGACCGCAAAATCCTGGCCACTGCAGGCTGGGACCACCGTGTCCGTGTGTTTCACTGGAAGACAATGAAGCCACTGGCTGTGCTGGCCCTCCACAGTGCTACCGTCCATTGTGTGGCCTTTGCTGCCAATGGCTTATTGGCTGCAGGGTCTGGGGATCAGCGCATCAGTGTCTGGTCGCTCTACTCCAGTGCGTGACTTGGGATACTCAAGGACAGGGAAGCAAGCACCTGCCCTCTGTTTGACCTGGGGTATGGAAACCCTGCCAACAGACCCCTGAGGACAGCACGCCACAGGGTCTCCTCCTTCAGTTATATGAAGAGCCTGTTCTGTGGAATCCTTGATTTCTTCTGAGGCTGTGTTTCCTTATGTGAAATATTGCATTTATAAGACAATGACTGTGGTTTTCAAAGAGTAACTGAGACAGACATCTGGGCATCTGTGGCCCAGGTAAAAGGCCAACCTGGAGATTCTTTACAATAAATTTCCAGTTGCAAACTTATGGCTCAAGGCAGGGATTCTCTGAGGAGACTCCCTTGATTCTATTCCTCCCTAGAGGAAGAACCAAGATCCAAGATTGTCACATCCTCCCCAGGGCCTGCCAGTGCCACATGCTTCTCACCCCACAGCTAGTGAGGAGCTCTTGATACACAGGGCTATGACCAACACCAGGACTAGGAGGTGAGCAGACTCCTCAGGGAAGGGAGCAGGAAGAGTGTACCAGTGCAGGATGGCAGAGTTAGCTCTGGGTAGGAGAAGCTGGGAGCTTGGGCTAGGTCAAATGCAGAATCAGGAGGAGCAGGCAGTGCCCAAAGAGACCGAAGCTGACAAGAGGCTATGCCCAGGGCAGCTTCTGGGCAGAAAGTACAGCAGTAAGTATGAGGTGAGGTAGGCATGGCCTTCATGGACTCCGGGGGTACGGCTGAAACCCTCATCTCACATGAGATGCCTGGAAATTGGCAGCTGCAGCCAGCACCACACACAGTCACTTGTGTGTGACCAAACCCAGCTGGCAGGGCATCTTTCCCTAAAGCTGAAAATTGTCTTTGGGGTTGTGGGCAGACCCTAGTGAAGCTGGGGCATCAAACCCCTTCATTTTACTGGCTTCTTTGATTGAAGAGCCCCTTCACCCAGCATGAGGAGGTCAGCTGTCCTTTATCCAAACAGCCTGGAATGACCTCCACTTGGCAGTAGCAGGACACTCAGGAACTGCCCCCATTTTACTTTGCTTATAACTTGACTCAGGTCCCAGCAAGCCCCAATGGGTGAGGTACAGAGTATGACCTCTGGGGAGGAGGTGGCTCCGCTCCAAAAGAGTCCATGGTTTTCCAGCTCGTGCAGACAGCAATCTGGAGAACATGTGTAGGAGCCAGGTGGCAAGAATGAGATGGAGCAGGCCGAATCACTGAAACACACTTCTAAGCAGAGGATCTGGACTCGATTTTGCAGTTTGAAAAGTTAGAATAAGCTCCAGGGTTTGGTTGGTTGGGTTGAAACATGGACCAAAAGGTGGGTAGTCAAGGGAGGTTGAAATGCCTGAACTGCCTGGGATGTGTTAGGAAAGACGAATCCAAGGACACACCGGTCCCTACAATGGAAGAATAGGTTGTGAGGGAGTCCTGTGTCCTTGAACAGCTCTTCTCTGAGAAGTGGGAAACCACAGTCACGGAGCTGGGAAACCACCACACCACCAAAGTCACGGAGCTGGGATCTGTAAATGTCATGGGATCATTGGGTCCCGGATGACAGAGCCTAGTGACACTTAACTGCCAAAAACAGGGTAGGTGCATGTGCATGAAGTAGGCATGGAATGACCTCTGTCTGAGTCACAGAGATGAGGGCTGGTAATTGCAGGCCCTAGAAGCAGAGCTGATGGGCAGCCTGCTAATGTCCATGTCACATGCTGGGAGCTGAGTCCTTCCTGAGCCTGGCCTGGTGCAGGGGACAGGCAGCTGCCTCCCCCGTGCTCTGGGACCTGGTGTGCAGGATGCTGCCATCTTCCCGCAGCTGCACGAAGCCCTTGCTGGGAGGGTGGAGGCCAGGCTCTGTGGGTAGACGGCAGTGCAGGCCCAGTGCCATCCCAGCCACTTCACTTTTCTCTTTACTAGAAAGCCATGTGCGTCCTCGTGGTCAGGCCCTTTGACATTTCTTATGGCCTTTTCCATTCTGAGGGTGGCTTTTTTCCCTTTACATGGATGCTCACGGCGACTTTATTCACAGTAGCCCTTCACAAGAAACCCAAATGTCTTTTTTCAGGTCTTCACCTTCACCAGCAAACTGGTATGTCCCATATGATGGAGTTCTGCCAGTGACCAAGAGGGACCTGGATGGACCTTTCAAAACACAGGATGGAAGGCACAGCCGTGGACATTCAATCAAGGCCCTTGCAGGCTTTAAAAGCTCAGCTCAGGCTGCGCAGGGTGTCCCCTAGAGATGGGGCTACACAATGCACTTCTGTGGTGGTGCCCTCAGTGCTCTGAGCAGCCCCAGCAGCTCAGGCGGAGGATGACGGGAGGCACCCCACACCACTGACAGAACCTGCCCTCAGTTGTTGGGTTGTCTCCCTAAATCTGTAAAGAGATGAGTGAAAGTAGGACTTGATCAGTTCTCCAACCTTCACTTCAGGTCTGTAGGAAGCCCTGCTCTTGGGCACAGACATGGAGGGCAGCCATGATGGCACATTGGCTGACTGGCAGTATTTGCCTATCCCCATGGTGGGGGCAGACCTAGGACAGGAATGGGGTGTCTAGCCATTGAGGGCCCTGCACCCCCATGTGCCTACCTGAGAAGCATTTTTGGCAAGACTCCCCCCAGAGCCCAGCAGCTCCTCGCACACCCAGACGCATCTCTCTGTGGTATCTGCGTGTTGTGAAATCAGCCCCACTCTCTTCCCAGTCCCAAAGTGTCTTTTCAGCCTACATTACTTTTTTTTTTTTTTTTTTTTGTGGGGCCCTTGCCGGCGGCCGGGTAATGAACCGGCGCTGCAGAGGCTGCGGACAGCCTGGCAGCCCATCGCTCAACCGCTGTGCCACCAGGGGTGGCCCTGGCTACATTACTTTTTAACTAAGCAATCTTTTTTAGGACTCATCTAAATGCTGTTCCATTCAGGAGTCATTTTGATCATAATTGCTAAGGACATTGATGTCACCTCCCAGCAGCCCACACCTGGCAGGAGCTTGACCCATGCCACAGCAAAGGTCCAGGTGGAGAGCAAGTGCATCTAGCAGAGCCCAGAGGTCCTTCGGGATGAGTGAGTGAGCACAAGGGGGCATACTGGTCTCATATCCTCGATGTCCTTGTGCCCTCTTCCAGATGTTTCCAGCCCTTCCAACATATCAACTGAGAGATGTGATTTGTTGCAGCCTCCCTGAGTATGCTCCCCTCAGCATTCTTTTAGATCATGGAGAGGCCACGCACACCCAAGGAAATTTGTATTTGGGAATACCAGTAGCCTGTTCTTGTATCCACTCCAGTTCTGGGCGGTATATTCTGCTGCCCTGTCCTTATTGGAAGAGCTTCTGTGGGTCAGGAATGCAAGCATGACATGCCTGGATTCTCTGTTTGAGGTCCCATGGGCTGCAATCAGGGGTCTTTGGGTGCTTCTTCCAAACCTCCTGGTTGTTGGCAGGATCCAGAACCTTGCATTCCTGGAGACCACCCAGACTCTCCTGGCCAGCAGGATGGAACAGGTGTTCTTTTCAGTGACTTTCATGCTGTGAGGTCTGCATGTTCTATCAATGAAGTAAGCACTTCCCATTGCCACCTCCAATACAGGGCGAGGACCCCTCTAATCCACAGAATGACCAGAGTTGCAGTGGTTCCCACCTCTACCTGCCTCCTCTGGGAGGTGGGAGGAGGGACAGCAGGTCTGGCTGTCCTGCCAGCCAGTGTGAGCGGCATGTGCCCCTGGTGACAGCCAGGTTCAGAGGAACCTCCAGCCCTGTGGACTCCTTGTCAGGTGGGTCCTACAGTCATCCTCATCCAGCAGGCCAGCAGCATCACACTGCTGGTGGGGCCCTTTGGATAAATGACTAAGGACAGACCAGGTGGTTAACCCCGGGACGCAACTGGTCACTGAGGATTCAGTGCCTTTTGCTGTACTCCTGAACTGTACAGATGGGATAATGTCAGACAGCCATGCCCTCTGAAAATTCACGGACAAGCCCCCGCATCTGCTGCTGGATGGTCCCCTAGGAGCTGGCCGCAGCATTCAGACATCAGGAGGGCCCAAGAAGGGCACAGTGGCGCAGGGTGCAGGGAGACCTGGCCACACTTGTTCAGCAGGTGAGCACTGTGCTAACGTGCGATGCGTGTCTTCACACCCCTGACTAAGTGATGTTCAGTCAGGTGTTTCCCACCTGTGTCTCTGCCAAGAAGCCACAGAACACCACTGCACAAAAGGACTGTTTGCACAAAGCAAAAACATTCCTTCAGGGGGTTCTTTAGAAATGCTTAATACTCAACAGGCTATAACTTCATGAGAGGCCTGGTATTAAAGACAAGCTGGCATATAAGTCACCTGACACAGCTTGTACCTGTACCACATAGGCCGCTGCCCACTCCCCGTCCGAGGTCCACCCACCATCTCTTCTGCGGCCTCCACCTGACTCCAGGTTCCCACGTGTGTGGGCAGCTCAGCAGCTCAGCCCCGCCTAGACTCCACTTTCCCGGGACATTGAGCAGCAGCGCTGCCCTCACACACCAGCTTCTCCACAAAGCCTGTCAGGAGTTACGCAGGAGGGCAGCACCTGGATAAGACCTGAGCAAGACTCAAGGGCCGTGCCGTGTAGATGCACCCAGACCCCCTTGGACAGAAGCCTGCCAGGCAGAGGCTTGTGAGTTCCACAAAAGAAGTGCCAAACCCTGCTTGGAGGATCCACATAGGAAAGCATCTGAGTGGCTGCATATAGCGCGGGGCTGTAGAAAGCAGTGCATGGCTATGTGCTGTGCCAACCCCCCAAAATAGGCACTCATGACCTTCAGATGAAGTGCTTTCACCCTTCATCCCTGATAGGGCACATGCAGCACTGGAATCGAACACTTCAGATCCTTGGAGCGGGGTTGGGACAGTGCACCCTGCACGTCAGCCTCTGCACCTGGGACTGCAGATCCAAAGAGTCAAAGAGATTCACTACCCGGTCCTTCAGGGGATGTTTGTTGGCCCTGTCTTAAAAGATAGCTGAGTTTCTGTGGCACAGGACAGATGCGAGGAATCACATTGCTAGAGGCCCTGGAGCAGCACTGAGAGTCAAGGAATACCCCCACTGCACCCACAAGATTGGGAAGCATTAGGCATCAAGTTGACAGTCACCATCTATTCAAAAAGGTTAGACTCCAATAGGTCAAGTATCCTCCCTGATACTCAAAGGAAAGTTAACATAGAGTATACCAGAGAGTGTTATAATAAGTAGGTCAAGTGTGTCTGCAGAGAGCTATGGCCTGTATGTTTGTGTTCCTCCAAAACTCCTAGGTTGAAACCGAAGCCCCCGGATGGGGGTATTAAGAGGTGGGGACTTTGGAGGGGCTTAGGTCATGAGGCTGGCACTCTGCTGCTTGTCGCCACGCTGCCTGGTGGAGGCCAGTCCAGCAGATCATACCCACCAAGGCCTCCTCACTCATGCCCCGTGCCTCAGTGGGGGCTCCATCAGTGAGAAACCTTGAGAGGCCCCTCAGCCTGGTGGTCTCTGGAAAGTCAGGCTTCTTACGTGGGGGCTCCAAGAGCTCATTCAGCAAACCAGGCAGGAGCCCAGAACCCAGACTGGTTAAGTCCTGGCAGCAGGGAGGGGACATAGACCCCACCTTGTGGTGGGGTAAGGGCAGCGTATTGGCAGCTTTACAAAAGGGTTGTGTTTGTTTCTCTTTGTGCAGTAAGAAAAGAGTAAGCGCAGGCAACTGAGACCCCAGAACTTGGGTAAGGAGCCAGGGTGGTGACTGGGCACCTGATCCTGGTGTCAGCAGAAGTGAGAGGGGCCACACACACTGCACCCCTCACTCAGCCCTGCTGGGGGTGATAAATGCTCACGAGGAAGGTTACTTACCCAACATACCAAGACGGTATCTCCAAAGGCAAGGACAGTGAACCAGGACCAAACAAAACCCATGTGGAACCCAGAGTCCCTTATCTCAGGGAGGGAAACCAAGGTCAAAAACTGGAATAAATATGCAAACCCAGCTATTGTCAAGAGCTCCTCCACCCACGGAGAAGTTGTGTTATGAAAAGGTTCAGCTTGAGGCGGTGACAAAACCTTCAACAGTTATAGCCTGTTGAAGTTATAGCCAGCCCCTCTCAGGCACCACACCAGGCCCCCCAGCCTGGAACTGAGTGCCCCATGACCTGTGATGCCCCATGGTCTGTAGGCTGAGCGCTTAAGGGAGAATAAAGGACAAGCTAAGCCATATCTAAGACAGTCCAATGCTTAGTTTGTGTGTTTCCTAAGATGTTCAAGACATTTTTAGATTTGATGTTAGGCTTATAGTTTTCATGAAACATTTACAAGTGTTTTTAATAAGCTTGCAACCAATGTTTAAATGTTGGAGAAACTTTACTTTGTCATAGCCATCAATTTAGAGTGTGACTATGTAAAGAGTTATTACACAAAAATTTATGAATCTTGAGAATTTATTGAACAATTAACATTTAAAATTTTTTTATTTCAAACATAGAGCAAAATAAAGGAGAAACATGCCAACCCCCTCCCCATATTAAACGGGCCTCGTTGGTGGTATGAAGGTCAGCATGGGGGCCATGCTCCTAGCAAGTGCTGCCACTTGTGACCACCTGCTCATCTGAATGTGAGGGTGACACGCAGTCAGCCAGGAATGGACAAAGCACGCTGGGAAACTTCTCAGCCTGGATGTCGAGAGTCTGCATGAGCGCATGGGCGGTGGAGCTCAAAGCAGCAAACACCTTTCCTGCCCAGAACCCAGAACCAATGGAAAGTCAACTTAGGAACATGACACTCCCACCTTCTTTGAGACGTAAGAACAAGAACATGCTACTTTGCTCATTGAGAATAACAAACTCTAAGGCTACTGCAACAGGCTGTTCAGCTCCATTAACGTAGCACAGAGAAAGGGAGGGAAGAGGAGATGGGAGCAGCACACACCAGAGTGGGGTGAGACCAAGGAAGGGGAATGAGCAGAGTTTGTCCTCTAGGAGGTGGTTGTGTGAACACTGGCAAAGTGCCTCAACCCCCAACTGCAGCCTGGCACCCACTGGTCTGTCCTTGGTCCTCAGCTTTGCCTTTTCCAGACTGGCGTCCCCAAGTCTGACTCTTCTGCTCGTGTGACGTGGCTGCCACCTGTCCCGGTGCGTTTCTTCCTCTCTGAGCCTGGCTCCTGCCCTAGAGATGGACCGACCGCAGTGCACACACACTCACCTGCTGCACCATCTGGTCTGTGTCCTGGTTTGGTGACATCAGACACCATGAACATCTGAGTCTGGTCTGCGCCTCCATTCCTCATGGGGAGGTGTGCTCACATATCTCATGGGGAGATATATTTCTGGGAGAATTCACCCAGAAAACCTGACCACACACATTTATGCATGTCCAGCCCCTTGGCTACCCCAGGGAAACAGGTCCTCTCTCCCAGAAAGGCTCAGGGGCATGGGAGACTTGGCTCCTGAGCAGGGCAGGAAGGCTGGACGCACACTGAGGTAGTCCTGCCTCTCCAGGACCCTTAGCCCCTTCCCGGGGTGTGTTGGCCTCCCCTCTCCTGGGAAATCTGGATCATCCCAGTGGGCATCATCTGTCCCTCCCTGCAGGAATATGTGCTCTTTTAAAGCAGGTGTCTGGTTAGTTTAACAAACATTGTATGGCAGGAACTTTGTCATGCTAAATGCCCCTGAAAGTTTTACTCCCCACTCCCTGCCTCTCCTCACACCTTTGGCTCCTTGGACTGAGGGCT